ACCCCAAATCAAAAGATCAGTTCCCAGGCTCAAAATTAAATTACCCAAAAATTGCCCCAATTCGACATATATACTATCCCCAATTTTCTCCAGGATTTTTTTTCCTGATTTTGGCCGCAATTTAATTTATTTCACCAGACTGAATTAAATTACTCCAAAATGCTTGAAATTTTCTTGGGCAAAAGAAATCTACAACCGAGTATAACCCAGGAAATATAATGATTTAAAAAAAAAAAAAATTCTTAAATCTAGTGTAAAGAGAAAGAAGAGAAGACGAACCATCTTTTTGCTCTGGAGTTTCTACGGTTTGATCTGCAACAATTTCTATTTCTTTTTCCAACAAAAGAAAAAAATCATAATTAAAATCGAATTAACAGTCGGTAAATAATAGCAAATTCAGATCGAAGACACGTGAAATTAATCAAAAATTTAGAGAAACCAACCATAATTGCGAGGGGTTAGCGTCACAGCATTATCGAAATTCGAACACAGTGTATCTAGGGTTTGATCTGTAATTCACAACCAAACGATTATACAAAAAATAAAATAAAAAACACTGAAATGCGCACGTTTGAGTGTGTGTATGTGTGTGTGAGAGAGAGAAAGAGAGAGAGAGAGATAGTACCATCCATGATCACAGTGAAACAGCCTCTTTCTCTGCTTGATTGACTGAAAATCGATGAAGCAAAATACGTATTTCCAGAGCTCAAAAATGTAGAGAGAGAGAGAGAGAGAGAGAGAGAGAGAGAGAGGAGAGAGAAAGAGATGAAAAAAATGCAAACGGTCGGGAGGAGGGGATTTCTTTTGTTTATGGGAAAACGAATTTGAAATTGGAGAAATCTGTGCCGTTCAAATTGCAAGTACTCTATGTAACGGCTATAATTTGATTTATGAGATGGGCCGGGCCGGGCTGGAAAGGGAGCGTTACCGACTGGAGCTCCATTTACATTTCCGGGTCAATTAGCCATATGGAGTATGATATTTGATTATTTTGATGTTTCAAGATTTTGAATTCTTAACATTGTCCAAATCAAGTTCAATTTTAGATTTTCTTACTCGTTAATCTCAAAATAATTTTGATTTTTTATTTTGAATATTTATTTAGCTTGATTGCGAGCTGTCGGTCTATTGATTGTCGATTGATGAAAAAATAGTTATGTAATCAACGAGAAATATTCCGTTTTACTATTATCTATAATATAAGAAGTGAATAGTATTTTAAAATATCACTTTTCAAATGAGGTTATGTGTATTTTATATAACTATATATTTTTTATAACACTTCAAATATTTATGCCCTTTTGTCGATTAAGCGTACTGGGGTAAAATTCGAGCTTTAATCATCCCATTTACCAACAAAGCTAAATAAGTGTACGAGTCGATAACACTTAATCCGATTAATAAATTCGTTGATCATGAGCCGACTCAGGAATGATTACTAACTGAACCCGACCCTTGACCATGTCCAATTGTACACTTTATTTTTTAAATGCAAAAATGAACTTAACATAATTGAAATTTTGATAGCAAGGATAATCATTCTTCAAGCCTTCTTCTTAAGATAGTGTTGATGTTCCTCTTTCTTTGAGTACTTATATGACCATCATATTGTCCCCATCAAGAACGATCGAATTCCACCATTTTGCCTGAGCAAATCGCACGGCTTGCAAAGCCGCATGAGCCTCAACTATTGCACACGATTTGCGCGAAAAGTTTGGAAACCCTTATTAGGAGAGTTGGTACCTAACCTCTATTATTACAGTAAAGGTCTAGGGTTCGAATCTATCAAAGTAAAATAAGGAGGGAACAGTTTAATTTTTTCAGTTTATGTATTTAACCCAGACAATTTGTATTATTTAGTCTATTTTATACATAATGTTTGATAAATAAAATTGATACAAATATGACAAACTTAAGGGTAGAAAATATAAAACTCTTGGAGTACGAACTTAATTTTTTAAAGATAATTTCTTACTCAATAGCCTTAATTTTCTAATTGTAATATTTTTTCGATCATTTCTTGAATCTCTTAAATCCCTTTTGTCTCCAAATGTATTTTCTTGAGATACTTTATTTATTAAGATGTTAGTTTCATCACTAGCTTGTTAATTTCAGGGCTCTTTCGATATAGGTTGTATTGTATTCGAGTAAAAATCTTGTTAACACCTCCGGGGTGATAGGGCTCCGCTGCTGAATACAAATTTCCCCTCTTTTCGGTGTGGGATGCATAAGTATTATGAATTAGGACTTCAGTGCATTGCTAATATATAAAGAGTCAATCGAATAATTTGTAAAGAGTCAAGGGTTAAATTGTAAATGGAGGAATAGTCATTCATGGTAATTCCAACCAAACATAATTTTTAATTTATCCATAATTCTTATTCCTTTTACACTAAATGATTTTATGATACTAAATAATGGTGAACGATACAACAATCTACGATCCACGCTATTGTAGCAATCCCATCTCACGAACCAAAAGAGCACATATTGTATAATTCGCCTTACATCCAATACAAACGAAATTTGATAACAAATAAGTTCCAATTATTTAATTAATCACAACTAAAAGAGATATGAGAGCTAACTTTGACTTTGTAACGCCTTTTATTGGGTGATGAATTTTATTGGTAATTTATTAACTTGAAAATAAGGCCATAAGGGCGTTTTACAACAACACTATCAACCTTGTTGCAGTCACTCACTTGACATTGAAAATTAAAAGATGAAATTGAAATTAATTAGGGCTTGCAGTTGTAATTAATTAGGGCTTGCAGTTGAGCTTGGGTAAAATATCTGCAATGAGTGACTGAGCAATATTTGCATAAGCCTCTTCAGTTAAATTGATCCCATCCCAGCTTACGTAGCTACTTGGCTGAGCGCACGCATGAACTCCACGCGCCCCGCATGTTTGGTTCGATTCGTAATTATATTCGCCTCCAATCCCACAACATGCTTTTCGCAAATTCTTTACATCAAACTCTGCCCAACATTACATAATTACAAAATTATGGTCAAAGAATAACTTTTAGGGCATGAAAATAAGGAGGAAAAAAAAACGTGTAGGTTGAATGTTAACGCATTCAACGCAGTTTTTGCAAAAGCTTATTTAAAAGCAGAAGTTAGTGATTATGGGTTAAGTTGGTTTTAAGTGGTTATTTCTAAAAGTTGGGGTTGTTTGCAAATACGCTGGAAAATCAACTTGATTTGAAAAGGAAGGAATCAATGGTGTTTTTCAAATTACAACTTATTTTAAGAAAAGTACATGCAAAATATGATTTCGCAGACACCTAAAATAGATTATGAGAAGAAAAAAAAAGTTCACAATCTATTTCTAAAAGTTTTTTGCAACGATAGATGCACACAATTAAAAAATATATCAAATAGACTTTACTTTTGGAGGAAGATTATATTTTGACAAAATTACCCTTAAATTTGTAGAACGGTTCATAATTGTAATATATTTTCCTTTTTACTAAAACGCCACATAAAAAGAAAAACATAAAGAAAGAAAGAACGAAAGAACGAACTTACTTAGGTGCAACGCGTTGCGCAAAATGGCGATGTAAGCGTTGTAATAATCGCCGTACAAAATCGTGACATTGGGATTTTGTTTCTTCACTTCTTGAATGGCTTTTTGCAATTCAGAGTTATGGTATTGTGACAAATTATTTAGATAGTTCAAACATTGGAATTTGTCATATGATTTGGAATCCTTGGTTTCAAACCTAGTGAGGAGAGCCGGTAGACAACCAAGTGGCAAAATACCCGGAACAACTATCCGAACCGCCCCGAATTCGATCACCCTCTACATTATCACAAATAAAAGGTCAATGTACAAGTTTAACCGAAACCAAAATCCTGAAACCCAAAAACCCGAAACCGAAACCCCAAAGATCTGATAAATTAATTAACTAAAAAAAAACAGTGACAATAAATAACTTACATTAATAGCCTTCTGAATTGCATAAACAACATCTGAGACAAGATTTGTTGTATCTTGGATTGATTTGCCTTGCAATAATGCATAGCTATAGTCGTTCATGCCAATCTCACCCACCATGAAGAGTGAGTTTTTAAGCAATTGTATGCAATCTAAGAGGGCAGAAAAGTCAAGAAAAAAATAAAATGAATTAAGTATAAATTGATGTAGAATATATATACACATATAATTATTCGCACAATTTCATCTAATAAGAATAAATAAAAATATTTTTGAGATGTGACTAAATTATAGAAATATCAGCCCACTTTATTTCACAATGATCACTTTGTAATAGGCGCTATTTACAAAATAGAAACAAACTTAATTATTATTATTTTTTTAAATAAGTCAATAATCAATTTGCCCAATTTCCTATTGATTGAACTTCAACTAATTTGAGAAAATAAACTATTCTTTATGATTCTAGTTAATTAATAATTATACTGTTATGGAAATTTTCCTACTCCATATTATCTGTAACTTTAAAATTATATTTTAATTTTACTTTAAAAGAGAGTACGAAATCATATAACGAAGTTAATTAGTGTTACCTGTGAGGCAAATAGAGTTGAAGTGAGTAAACATGAGATCAAGTTGTAGATCAAGAGAAGTAGTAGTAATTGGAGATGAAATATTTTTGGATTGTAAAAATTGTGTTGGTAGAGCAGTTGCTCCTGCAGTTGCAAAGTTATCTCCATTCTTGAATTCTGCTTCTCTGTTCTTGTATGGGTTGATGAATGCTAGACCAGATGCCGCAGCTGCACATTTATTTAAATAAAACAATGTCCAACATTTAATTTCTTATGAATTAAAATTAAAATTAAAATTAGGCTCCTACTAAATTAATGATAAACACAGGATGAATTTTAGTAAACGAAGGTCATTTTTTAATCCCACTTCACACATTTGTCATCTCTCTAACTTTATTGTTGTAAATAAAATTTATATATTTTATTTTCATTATATTTAAATTTAATTACATTTGGTGTTGTTGAATTTTAAAATTTAAATTAATTCTTTTAACTTTTAGAATTAAATTGGGGGAATTATATAAACTCAAAATTTGTCCATATATTTATCATGAAATTCAAAAAAAATGAAAAAATAATTAGAGGTTTCTACATAAAGTAAAAGGTTTTGGGTGATTTTTTTGTAGATTAAAAACACAAAAGAGGGTAATAACATTCGAGTTAGAAAAATTTCATAAATCCAGAAAAACAAGCGTATGCGGTAGACAGTAGCCTGGTTCAAAATTTGAAAAACTCATATATTTTAATGTTCATAATACGATATTGTTGCAAAAATAAAAGTTTCAACGAAAAAGACGGAGTTAATGCTAGGTTTCAATTTACTAAATGAAATGTCCTAAGTTTACTTCAAGATGTCCTGCATTTATCAACACATATGTAACCTGATTTAAATTTTCATGAAGAAAAAAGAAAGAAAAAGTTAGATCACACTAAAATCGCCTTGATTTTAGGTGCAGGAAGTCATTATTTGCCAAAAGTTATCCTATATGACTTTTTATCTTTCATTTCTCACTTTGAAACTGAATTGAATTGAATTAAAAAATAAGCTTTCCTTTAAAAATGAGAATTTCTTCTCGTTTTGTATTTAATTAATTTACAATATAATAATTAAGTTTTGGGTTTTGGGTATTCGGTTTTTCGATTTTTGGGTTTTCGATTTTTCGGGTTTTCCCGTCTCGGATTTCAGGTTTTCGGGTTTCGGGTTAAGTTTCAGTCAAATTTTATGTTACATAAAGTTGGGCAAAAAAATTGTTCAACATTAAAATTGTGGAACCAGACACGCACACGCGCGCATATATGTATATTGCTAAAACGTCGCTTAAAATAAAACGGAAAAACAAATTACAGAGATAATCGATGATAAGTCTTCCGTTCGAGCACCGGCCAGTGGGTTTTGAAAGAATTTATGGTCCCGAATTCGTGTTGTACAGAGATGTTGTCTAAAATGTTATGACACTTGAGACAACATGCAGCGGAAATATAACAATTTAAAGGACAATGCTCAGAATTAAAAATGTTCACAAGTAAAGACTTGTGAACTTGTCCTTTTCAGGACGAAAAATATATTAAAATCAGTATTCCAAGAATACAAACAGAAGAGTGCGAAAACTTCTTCCTTATGAGTGAATCTTTTTCAAGATCACTCTTACAACCAAATCTAGATACTAAAAGAAAGATATCAAAAATTCTAGATTTCAAAGAATGTACTTATAAATAGTACGTACAACAGATCCTAGAAACACACTAAATTCTCGAGATTAAACTTCAGCTCTATTTTGTTCTCT